GAGGCGCTTGAACGGCCGCGCTGAGCTGGACGCAGCAGCACGCTTTGTCGACGGTGGTGGGGAATCGCGGGGCCGCTGCGCTGAAGGGGGTTCCTGCTGGAAGTCGTCGCTCGGGCTGCTGGCAAGATCCTGCGCTGCAGAGACCAGCCGGGCCCAAGCATCGGCAGGCAGCGCGTCCTCGGCGAGCGTCTCCTTCAGCAGCCAGATCGCCGACAGGACAGAGTGGGCGACCAAGACAGGCTTGCAGACACTCGTCTCGTTTGGAATCAGCCAGCCTGCGCTGTGCGGGCGGAATAGAGCATCACGCTGCGAGTCCGAGACAGTCGCCTTGCTCCAAAACAGCTTTTGGTAGTCCAGGTTCGGCGGGTTGTATGCGAGCCTGTGGGCAAAGCTTGACTCGCTGGCTAGCAGGAAGCTCTGGGGCCCGCCATCGAATTGCTCAGCGGCATCTTCCAACGCGGAGATCCAGAGTAGATTAGATAGCGACATAGCTGTTTGTTTGTTGATGTGGGAGATACAGCAGAAGAAGAAGGATGTTTGTTAGGTTCAGCCCCTGACTAGGGTAACAGACTAAATAGAGATTAGCCTATACAACATAAGCAGGCGCACAAGCTAGGGTGCGAAACTTAACATAGTTTAGAGATAAGAGCTGTTGCCTTAAGGAAGAAAAACACACACAGAGGCTTGCAGAGGACTACTAACATGTTAGAAGCCACTGTTGAGCATCAGTACTTTGAGCACTTGGCTGAGTACTAGGTAGCAGTGTGCAAGGAGTGCCGGTACGCAGTATGGCCGGACCAGATCGAGAGCCACTTGAAGAAGCAACACAAGAGACCGCTAAAAAACGTTAGAGCTGTAGGGGGTGCCGTCCGTCAGTGGGCGGGCTTGCTACAGTACCCCAGCGAGTGGACGGTACCAGACAACAACGTGCAGCCCATCCCCCAGCTGCCAGTATACGACGACGGCTTGCTGTGCCAACTTGAGCCCAAAAAATGCCGGCACATTGCAAGAACCATTGACTCAATCAAAAAGCACTGGCGCAAAGACCACAACGGCTGGTCATTGGGAAAAAGGCAAGGACGCCCTAGCCGAACTCGGGCAGGGGCGTTGCAAGCCCAGATGGAAGACGGCTGCAAGCGCGTACACTGCCAGCAACTTTTCGGCAGCTGGCACGGATCACAGTACTTTGAGGTGCGTCACAACCTAGACAGCAGTCTGCAACCCGTCCCTACAGAGGGCGAGGCGGCGTGGGCGCGCGTAGGCGAGGAGATGGCCAAGACGTGGGCCAACGTTGAGGACTGAGCGAAGACAACAATTGAAGACAGGGAGAAGGACGAAGCGGCCCCATGGCTGGAGCAGACTGGGTGGCTGCTGTACTTGAACAAACTGGATCGTCCTGAGTTGCTGGCAAGCATTGAGGAGCCCAACATAGACCCAGAGAAAGATGAGGAGCCTGTCGAGGCTGCGATTTGGAGCGCAATAGATGGACTGGCCCGCGTGAGCCAGATGTCCGTCATCAAGCAGACAGGCATATTTGTGCGCATGGAGGCCATTCGTACAGAGAAGCATTAGACCAGGTACACGCTGCTGCAGGCGTACATGGACGACAAGTTGATCAAAGAGCAATCACGCCCGTGGAAGCAGATACTGATGTTTTTTGCACGGACGCAGAGGGAGCACCGTTAGAAGAGCCCCAAGTACCGCTTCACACAGCAGCAGCGTGAGGCGTGGGAGGCGTTGGTCGAGCAGGCAGAGAGAGATGTTGGCGGGGCAGAGATGGAGGTAGCGGACGAGGACCAGGACGGGGACAAGGAGGAAGAGGAGGAGGAGGACAAGATAATGATTGATGAACTTGACAACAAGCAGGACCTGTCTAAGTGCGACAACAAGCCTGAGAACGAGCTCAAGAACGAGCCCAAGCACGCAAAGCTGACGCTGATCGAGAAAGCGTGCTTGATGTTTTGCATTGCGCTGCTTGACCAGCGCATCCGCCGCAAGGAGTACGACTGCGCGTTGGTGTGTGCGTTGGCTGTGCTCGGCGTCAAAGAGGACGGCTGGAAGGACGCCGAGCTGTACCCGCTGATATTGTCGTTGGTGATCAAAATCACCTGTTTCATGGTTGTACAACACGCACTTGAGCTGTCCGAGCCGTTTGAAGAGGAGGTGTTTAACAACGACAGCGCGTACAGGGGGAGCGACAGCGGCAGCAGTAACCCCAGGCTGCGTTGACCAAAAGGCTGCTTGGAGTTTGTGCAGCAGATGATAGACAGGTTCATAGTACGAGGCAGCCACAGCCCAATGCAGTGGATGCTCGACTTGCGTACGTACGGGCTGAAGGTGCATTTCAACACCACCGCGCGAGGGAACGTTGAGTGGATGGGTAGGGACAAGCTGCTGTACAAGAACGTGCACTTCACCATGGCCCAGTTCCGCAGCATGGTGCACGGGATGCAAGCAGAGAGCAAGCGGATGCTGGTTGAGGAGCTGCTGTTTTGCAATAGGCAGACGGCAGATTAAGTCCCCCAGATTCTGTAGGAGCAGCTGCGCAACAACCTAACTAACAATTAACCTGGGTAGAACTTTTTAAAAGACTAGCGCACCTGCATGCCTGTGGATAGAGAGAGGTGGTTGTTCGAACGAGTGGGGCAAGACGCTACAATGTAGGAGCGGTTTATTAAGCCAGCTACCTGTTCCAGGATCAACAGGAATGAAGTAGAGTGGTACATAGACTGTGTGGTTGCGTTTAGGGAGAAGCTGCTTGCGCTCATGCACATGACGGCAGGACAACCCGCACGGGTGACTGAGATATTGAGCGTCTGACACAGCAACACAATCAAGGGCGGGCACTGCAACATATTCATTGAGGACAGCATGGTCGTGTTTGTCACACAATACCACAAGGGGTACGCTGTCAGCGGCGACGTCAAGATCATCCATTAGTACTTGCTGCGCGAGGTGGGTGAGCTGCTGGTGTGGTACGTATGGTTAGTGCTGCTGTTCCAGCAGCGATTGGAGGCGATGGTGTGGGAGAAGGAGGCGATTTCATCCCACTTGTGGCCCGCCAACCTGAATGGACGCAAATGGACTTCAGAGCGTGTGCGGGAGACGTTGAAGCGCGAGAGTCGAATCAGGCTCAAACAAGAGTTAACGATTGCAGCGTACTGTGAGATCGCCATTGGCATCAGCCGGCGATTTTTGCGCGGCTCGACAGCGTTCGCCGCCAAGGAAGGCGAGGAAAACAAGGAGTGGAAGGAGGAGAACATGGCGGCCATTATTCAAGACGAGCAGTCCGGACACACGTCGCACGTAGCGGGTATGGTGTACGCACGCGGCATCATGGAGATGGCAGGTGTTACAGCCGACAGAAGGCAGCTGTTCCGCAACTCAAGCACAGATTGGCACTAATTTTTAGGTTTTCAGTCTGCCGTAGACGCATCAGCAGACGTGAAGAAGCGGAAGAAGGCGCCGTTCGAGAGCGAGGCCGACGAGGCGAGGATAGAGAGGCTGGAGCGGCTGAGGAAGGTGGACCCGGCAGCGCAACTCAAGCGAATGAAGGGCAAGAAAGCTAAGTTCAGAGGCGTGCAGAAGGAGGCCATCGAGGCGATCGTTGCCGGCGAGAGCCCCGTCGTGGCCGTGATGCCAACCGGCGCAGGCAAGAGCATGTTGTTCATGTTGCCGGCGTGGGCAGAGCAAGGCGGAACGACGGTGGTCGTCGTGCCGTTGATTTCGCTGCGTGGTGACATGATGCGACGGTGCAAGGAGCTGGGGATATCGTGTGCCGAATGGGCGAGTCGCTGCCCGCCCGACGCAGCAGCCATCGTGTTTGTAACGCCCGAATTGGCGGTGGGAGAAGCGTTTGCGACGTTTTTGAACCGGCTGCGAGCGACGCGGCAGCTGGACCGTATCGTGATCAACGAGTGCCACATTGTATTGAACTGTCGATACACATTCTGCAAGCAGATGCAACAGCTCGGCAGGCTGGCAGCAGCTGAGACGCAGATGGTGCTGTTGACAGCAACGTTGCCGCCGACAGAAGAGGACGAGCTGTATCAACAAATGCATTACGAGCAGAAGCAGGTCAAGATGTTCAGACAACCAACCACTAGGACGAACATGGCGTATCAGACCATCAAGATTAGCTAGTCCGCGAAGAAGAAGGACGTTGAGTTAATAGTTGTTAAGACAGTGCGGCAGAAGATGCGGAAGTATAGGACAGGTAAGCTCATTGTGTACGGCAACTTGAAGCTAAAGGTGAAGGCGTTGGCAGAGCAATTGGATTGTCACGCGTATCACGCGGATGCCGTGGGCAAGCCGACCATGTTGGCGGACTTCATGGCAGGCAAGCAGCGCGTGATCGTAGCAACGAGCGCGTTGGGCATGGGCGTGGACATACTGGATGTACAGTGCATCATTCACATCGATTGGCCGTTCACTATGTTGGATTACGCACAAGAGAGCGGCAGGGCAGGCTGGGACGGGTTGCGAAGCGAGGCGGTTTTGATAGTTTAGGATGGGAAACAACGCACCAACGACAACAGGACAGAAGCCGAGCGGCAGATGGTGAGGGAGTATGTGGAAGGTGGCGAGAGTAGGGCGGTTGGCTGCAGGAGGGAAGTGTTGGACGGGTATTTGGATGGGAGGAAGGATCAAGCAGGGTGTAGAGAGGAGGACAACAAGGAGATGTGCGACGTGTGCCGAGGGATAGACGGGCAGTTAGAAGAGGTGGTGGAGGAAGAAACAGAGGAAGGGAGCGGGACAGAGAACAACAATGGAGAAGAGATGGACGTCGTCGAAGCCGAACAAGAAGAGATGCAGCGGGTATATCGACAGCAGGAGCAGGCGCGTCGGGGGCCGTGGCAGACGTTGACGGAGCATCGACAGCAAGAGTTTGCCGATATGGAGTGGGTGCGCAGGCAGTTGGCGTGGTGGGCGAATCGATGCGGGATTTGCGAGGGAGCGGGCGACGCGCAGAGCGGACACGACATACGGCAGTGTTGGAGGGCAGAAAGCAAAACAGCAAAGGAGATGGTACAGAGGATTGATGATTAAGTTTAGTTCTGCATGTTTTTAGGCTGTTTCCTGTGCGGTGGCGTGCCACAGGAGATTTGCAATAGCTAGGAACTAAATAGGGAGGGGCGATATTAATAAGTAGAGGATAGAACTTGTTAGTACACTAGGGTATTAAGCGCAGGATTAATAGGCATAGTATTTGGTTACACAGAGGCAAACGCCTAATGGCAGGCCTGATTAGCAGACCTATCCAAGATGGGTAAACCAACTGTACCTATGGTTGATTTAGGGTTGCAAATTTGTTAGGGACTAGGGCTACAGGTTTTGCGCGGATATCTTATTACGGGGTACAGTTGGTTTTCCTCCTAACTACAGTTGTTCTGCAACAACAGACTTAATCTGCTTTAAACTTAGACATATAATTTGTAGTACTAACCTGCATTACCTGTGCAAGTTGTAGCAAAATCAGCTGCGTAGTTAATAGGGGTAGGGTTTGATGTTCATGGTTAGGGTTGCGCTAGTGCGGACAATAACTGCAGCAGAACGCAGAACAACAACACTGTAACACTAACGTGTTTTACAAGCGAGCGCCGCGTACAAGCAAGCGCTGCACCCTAGCCAAGATAAGGGCGCAGGGAGGACACCAAACCACAGCAAAAGAGGCTTAGCGTTAGGGTTTGACCCCTTTTAAGCGATCTGCTTTGGTAGTCCCCCATAGGCTGGCGGATGGGTAGGGTATGCTTTTTTACGTTTTGGCTTATAGCTTCTTAACTAGCAGAGATACGCTTACATAATCTATTATTTAATAGAAGCGCCTAGTATTGCGCCTTCTAATAAAAAAAGAATTAGCTGATTCCGCCTAGTATTAGCTGAGTTATTAACACTACCTAGCAAAGTATACCTATTAATAGGTATGCTCGCTAGGTACCCCCCCTTTTTTAACATTTTCTAGCCTCTAGCTTGTGCAGTTTAAAAGTTATAACAAAACCTTCTACTATAAAAATGTAGAGGTGGTTTTTCTCTTTCTTTTCAGCCGTAGTTCGGTAGAATCCATGTATTATTGATAAGGTTTTGGGGGGTACCCACGAAGGACGTTGGAGTATACCCATTTCGCCAGCCTAGTCCCCCACATTACCCTATCTAAGATAGGTAAACTAACTGTACCTATAGTTAATTTAGTGTTGCAAATTTGTTAGGGACTAGGGCTATAGGTTTTGCGTAGATATCTTATTATAGGGTACAGTTAGTTTTCCTCCTAACTATAGTTGTTCTGTAACAACAGACTTAATCTAACGTAGATTATCACTAAGCCAGCCATATCACCAAACTGGCTACTTTCTCTTGGCATAACCACCTTTTACCCTAACACAACATGCCTTAACAACAACAACTTCAGAATACTACTAGAGAAGGCAGAGTTATCCTTGCTATCTAGGCCTTCTATGCTAGCTAATTTCGCAGTATCCGCAGCGCTGCTAGAGCGTTGAACGTACCTTATTAGCAGGTCTCTAATTACCTTTGCAATATCACGTTTTAACTAGACGTACGCGCTAATTGCTAGAAACTTACTATACTAGAGGAGCAGACAATTATCTAGTATATACTTAACCTTGATTCGTGAGGATTTGCGCCCCAGCTATGTGAGGTGGCAGATATGGCTGATAAGATACTTAGTGTGCGTAGTGAAGAGCCTGTTGGCAAACTATAGGCTAGCAGGCTTGTGACGCGTTCAGACAAGCTTAAAATAGCCTTTAATTAAGCCAAGGATAGACAGAGGATACTACAGGAAGATCCTGAGATAATTAGCGCG